TGTAACTGTGGTCTGCTGCACGATCTTGTCCATTATCACACAAGTGATGTCTTGAGTCCGTTGTTGTGAGGCGTTCTGCGTCATCTGTAGGCAATTGATAATGGTCTCTGCCATGATCTTCACGATGGTTTGCAGCTGGACCTCGGTAAAACTGTATAGCTGGGGAGTAGATTCCGAAAGTAAGTGTTTTCTGCTCATTTGCACTTGCTGGACTTCTGCAACACTTTCGTGTAATGTCTGATTCGGAATTGACAGATTCGGGAAATTTTGCTCTGTGTGAGCGGGTGGCTGTTGTGGCTGTGCACGAGTGTTCCAGACGGTGGTGTTGGTGGATGTACCGCTGGTCAGTGTGTTGACCCTGGCCTGAGCTGTCTGCACTTTTTGTTTCCGTGCAGAGCAGGTTGTGCTCCAGGCATGATGTTTGCCTCCACAATTTGGACATTTGGCTGTTGTGGCCTGGTTTGCCTTGTGCTTGGCAATACAGTCTTTGGTGGGATGTCTCAGGCTGCACACTCCGCACCTCTCCTGTCCTGTGCAGCGTGACTGATGGTGGCCGTATTTCTGACACCTGAAGCAGCGTAGGGGTTCCGGGACGTATGGCCTCTGTCGGTATGTCCCCCAATTTCCAAGACCGAAAGTTTCCGGCACATGTCCCATGACGGTCACCAGAACCTGACGCGTCGCTGCCTTGTCTACTTTTGTGTGGCAACGTTCCGCACTCAGGACTTGCTTGTGTTCTAGCACTGGATCCAGGGGAAAGTCGATTGGGTATCCCAAAAGCACGACTCGTGTGCGTCGTTCTGAAGGGTCCAGCTTTACCAAGCACACAGGTTTCCCCTGCAGGACTCTTACCTTCTCTAAGTAATGTGCAGTCTGTTGGTCTTGAGGTGTCAGTATTATTTCTCCCTTCAGGTTGACTGTAATGGAAAGTTTGAGCTCTGGTTGTTCTTTTTCCATCGCCGTTACTACTCCATATGCGGTAGGAAAGTGGTCGGTCTGCATGATCTTGAATTTCGGAAGAAGTGCAGAGGCTGGCGATGTCTGGTGTGAGACTGGTGGTGTCCTCCCCTGTCCCATACTGCTGTCCTGCGGCTGGGCTGTGGAGAGAGGAACAATGGCCGACATTGGCTGGCGTGAAACCGGTGGTGTCCTCTCCCGACTCATACTGCCGTCCCGCGGCAGCGTTGCAGACAGAGAAGCATTGACTGACACTGGCTGGTGTGCGACTGACGCTGTCCTCTCTAGGTCCATTACGTCCGCTGACTTGCTGGTAGAAACAAGTGGTAAAGCCTCGATAGCAGTTGTCTTTGGGGCCTGCTGCACATCGGTCCCCCGTCCTTCCTCGTCCGAAAGCTGCTTCCATTCCCTCTTGCGCTGAGCCTTCCCCATGGCTCTCTACACGTAGTGAGAACCGACTCAAACCACCGGAGCAGCAGGCGACACGTCCTCACTGCACGGTAGCTCAGGAGCAACTCGAGTAAGAGGTGAAATGAAGTGGTGGGGACGAGGGGACGGTGGAGTGGGGGATGGTGGGGAGAACAAGGGGTCAGGGGACTGGGGAGTGGGAAATGGCTGGGAGGAGGAGGAGACGACAGGGGAGTGGGGAATGGTTGGGAGGACAAGGGGATGGGGGAGTGGGGAATGGTGGGGGAGGACTGAGGGACAGGGCAAGGTTGTTGTGGCTCAGCAACGCACATGCATTGCTGAGCCAAAGCAATGCACGGCCGGGTACAGCTAGTATAAATAAAAATGAAAATGCTCGTTTGTGCATAACCGCTAATCTCAGAAAGTTCTTCACCGATTGCTTTGAAATTTTCACACAACGTTCCATGCGCATCCGAGCAGGTTTTTATATACATACTATATAGATGTCACGTCTGTGATGGTAAAAAACGTGTTTTTTCTGAAAAACTGTGTTTTCATGTGTTTTTCATGTGAGGGAAATCTTCGAAACCTCTACCAATTGCTTTGAAATTTTGATGCAACATTGTATTTGAATAGACACGTCTTTTTACATATCTACTATATACATGCCTCACCTGTGACAGGAAAAATCATGCTTTTTTTTAAAACAACGCCATCTGTTGGACGTAAGAGCAACACATGCTGTAATCTCCGAAAGTTCTTCACTGATTGCTTTGAAACTTTGACACAACGTTGCATTCGAAAAGGCGCGTCTTTTTATATACCTACTATATAGAGGCCACCTGTTTGACAGGTAAACACTTGTGTTTTTGAAAAACAGCGCCATCTGTTGCACATAATAGCAACATGCACTCTATACTAAATATATCACGAATTCGATTTCAATGTTTCCGAATGCATTGATAAATATTATTTTCATAGACTTCGATTTATTTTATTTTTTATTGAATTATTTTGTGTGACAGTGTGTTGGAATTGAGCTGTTGTTTACCATACTGTTCATTTTGTAAGTATAAGTATAGATGCCACACTTGTGACCTCTGTGACTCTTTGATATCCCCAGAGTCAAACTTAATTTGTGTAAACACTCTATGCAAATAAAGGGACCCAGTCTATGGAACTCACTCCCTATTGAATTGAAAAGCTGTCCAACTTTTGCATCATTCAAAAACAATACTAAAAAGTACCTAATTTCATCTTCATAGTTTTTTACCTTTTGCTTTAAAACTGCACTGTATCTATTGCTACCCAATCTCCCAATCTTTATGTACCCAATCTGAACATCTTTATCATTGCTGTCTTCTTATATGTACTGTCAATCTGCTGTATGGTGTCTATTAATCTTGTTTAAATTACCAATCAAGCTGTCAATGTAATCAATCAGAGCTTTAATATACCAATGTGCTTTAATATACTTACTAATCTCTCTCATCTCATTTTTTTTCTTGCAATGTATTTGTTATCATTTCATTAATTCTGATAGAATTTACCTACTTAAAATTATCTGTTAGATTAAGGACCTGCCCGAAAAGCAGCGCGTACTAGTGGCTTTACAAGAGTGCAATTACTGTACCATGCTATGTATTCTCACAAACCCAATGTACCTTCTTGTACATAAATAAATAAATAAATAAATAAATAAATAAATAAATAAATAAATAAATAGGTAAAACTATGCTTCTCTTGAAAAACAGCGCCATCTGTTGCATGTAAGAGCAACACACATGCTATACTAAATAAGTTACAATTCCATTTCAATGTTTTTGATAATATTGATAAATTGAATTTTCATAGATTTCGATTTATTTTCATTTTGATTTCATTATTTTGTGTGAATTGCGTTGGAATTGAGCTGTGTTGTTTACTATACTGTTCATTTCGTGAGTATAGTTTTTTTCATATTTTCATTTCAATTTTTAACTGTTTCTTATTTCAGTGATGGGAACATTAGATCACTTGATGTTCCCAATTTTCTGATGGGAACATCAGACCATTTGGGAAGGCATCGGACGAGGGAGTGGGGAATGGTGGGGATGATGAGGGGACAGGGGGAGTTTGGGATGGTGGGGACGAGGGGATAGGGGAATGGTGAATGGTGGGGAGGACAAAAGGGACAGGGGAGTGGGGCATTGTGGGAAGGAAGAGGGGACAGTGGAGTGGGGAATGGTTGGGAGGCCGAGGAGGCGGTGAGAGGGGAATGGTGGGGAGGACTGGGGGACAGGGAAGGTTGCTGTGGCTCAGCAATGCACATGTGTTTCTGAGCCACAGCAATGCATGGCCGGGTACTGCTAGTATTTAATATATATAGAGTTTATGGTGTGACTGGTTCATTTAAAATTGTCTTGACTAGTCACGTTGGGTAACTTTCGCCTCAGGGAGAAAGTTACTTAGTTCTATCTAAGCTTTAATTTTAATCCAGTCTAATATAGTATTTTTAAAGTATAATTAAATTGTAGACTGGAAGAATTATGAATTCGGGAGAAATAATAGTCACGTGGCCAAAATTGGCTGACGCAATACTCCTCCATTCTATCCAGGGAGTTTCTAGAACTTTCCTCACTGGAAAATTAATACAGTTAGTATGTTAGCTTTCTGACATAACGAATTTAGTTTATTATATCCTTGGTTAGTAATGGGGGATGTCGGAAATTACCGACAACCGGCACTATGTTGCCTTGGCACTTGTTAACCGGCACTATGTTGCCTTGGCACTTGTTAACCAGCACTATGTTGCCTTGGCACATGTTAACCTTTACTACGATGCCTGGGTTCTATATTATTGGACTAATCCAATATAACTTTCATTAATATATAGCAAATGATCAACAGATAATTTAACACCAAGACACAGACCACATGGCTTCTCTCTTCATGTGGTTGTATCACACTCCGTACATAAGACCAGCCCGTTAATGTTTGAAACCCTGAACTTTGGCTGAATACATTGAGAGGCAATTCAGGGACAACTTTTGCAATTCATTTATCATTGCAAGTTTGAATTTGAAATAAACACTAGATTCAACAACACCAATTACCCGTAATTCGACCTCAGTTAACACGGTTGACCACATTCATGTACAATAGCAGTTAGAGCCTGGCTCTTCCTTGAGCCCGAGAGCTGTCGCTCGCCATTTTGATGAAGTCATGTGAATTTCTCCCCCCCCCCCCACTTATTTCTGACACTTTCCTTGAGGCAACACCCAACATGTTACCATAAAAAAATCCCAAATCCACTTTTTGTTTAAAACCTAATGATTATAGGCAAAATTTGATTGCAAATGTAGTTTTATTAACAAAATGATGAATGTTGAAAGCATTTAGGGACAAGATACATTAGTCTATAAATTAATACTGTATAATATTATGCCTCAAGAATGCTTCTCAGAACATTAACAAATATCTCAAACAAATATCAGGAATGTCACGAAAAGCAGAACTACACAGTTGCATGTTTAGTCCGAACATAAAGCTGTTATCCCAAGCTTATGTAGGCACTCTTCCTCCACTATAATACACAATTACAACAAATTTTGAGAGTAATAGTAAATTTTCCATGTTGTGCCCCTGGTGGTCAGGTATAAAGAAAACGTGGTGAGGATGTCAGCGGGGATGCGGGACCAGCTGATGTCGCCCAGGGAGCGGGCAGTGTTCTGGACGGAGTACGTCATCCGTCACCGTGGGGCGCCCCAGCTCAGGTCCCCGGCGGCACGACTCTCCTGGGTGGAGTTCTTCATGCTCGACGTCCTACTCCTCCTCCACCTGGCTCTCTTCCTCCTCATCTTCATCCTACGGCGAATCCTCAAGGTCATGACTACTAAAGCCTTTGGTAATAACAACTCCAAGAAGAAGGAATAACATTGCTTTCATCGTGTCAAGTGATCTCTCATTAATATTTTGTTATGGAGACATTAACTGTGTACAGTATAAAGAGATGTGTGTAACCAGCTCGTCGCACATCACCTTGTTACAAATGTATCATAACAAATACATATGATTAAAAAAATTATTAGTGCTACTAAAGTATGATGGTGCTGGTGACATTATATTTGTAAAATGTATTCCGTCTATCACATACGAACACACCATTTTACACTATTTTATATCCCTAATACAAGGCCAAGTACATTAGAGGTAAACAACATAGTCTGTTCGAATATTATATTATACTCTTAATTTATAATATAATATAGAATATATATATTATACTCTGCTGCCTAATAATGAACAAATAACTATATTCTTTCTAAGCTCATGAAACAAGAGATTTTCCTATTTTCATAATAAGCATTTGTGCATTTCTTAAATCGAACATCATGTCATACTTTCATATCAGGTCATTGGTTCGAGAGCCTGGAGGCCTTGGACACTCAACTCAGGGACCAAGTTATGTCTCTTGAACTGCTACGGACCCAATAGAGGGACCATGTCTCTTGGACACCTAGTATAGGGACCAAGTCACTGTATATTACAGCAGCACCCTTTATTGTTTCTGAATAATATAACATATAATATGTATAATTATAAATGAGTTTAGAATGGTTGTCTGCGATAGGACAAGCACATTTCTAAGTACATAGGACATAATGTATGTGTAATAAAGAAATGTCTGGTCACTATACCACAAGGAAGGTTCTTGATTCATTGATAAGCTTATGGTCTGTAAAGCCTGAAGATGAATTAGAAATTTCTATTCCTGCTGTCATGCTCCTATGAGCTAAGAATGAATAAATAGGCGTTCAGTGAAGCACTAATTTCAATACAAAATCAGGTAAAATCTGTCTGAGAAAGAGTTATTATGTTTCAGTTGGCGTACTGTGTGGAACACCTGAATTAGGGTAACTCTTGACTGCTGCTTCTTGACAGCATGTAAATAATATTGTAAAAGAAGGTATATATATTAAGTAATAAAATATAAAACATATTACTTTTTTATTCATTATATCATTGATAACACCACTCACAAAGTACCGGATTAACAACTACAACCACACTCCAGCAGTCATCCACAGCAGCACCACCGCTTCATAAGACAATGTGTACAGTGTTCCAGGTGCACCACCACACTCCAGCAGTCATCACCAGAAGCACCACCGCTTCATAAGACAATGTGTACAGTGTTCCAGGTGGACCACCACACTCCAGCAGTCATCACCAGCAGCACCACCGCTTCATAAGACAATGTGTACAGTGTTCCAGGTGCACCACCACACTCCAGCAGTCATCACCAGCAGCACCACCGCTTCATAAGACCATGTGTACAGTGTTCCAGGTGCACCACCACACTCCAGCAGTCTACCGGTCAAATGAGCTATTGAGGCATTAGAAAGAATTGTTTTAGTGTCAGAGTAGTTGAACGATGGAATGCATTAGGAAGTGATGTGGTGGAGGCAGACTTCATACACAGTTTCAAGTGTAGATATGATAGAGCCCAATAGGCTCAGGAACTTGTACACCATTTGATTAACTGTTGAGAGGCGGGACCAAAGAGGCAGAGCTCAACCCCCGCAAGCACAACCAGGTAAGTACAACTAGACAACTAGGTAAGTACAGCAGTACCAACGCTTCATAAGACCAGGTGTATAGTGGTCCTGGTGCTCCACCTCACTTTAGCAGTCTTCCGAAGCAACTCCACCGCTTCATAAGACTGGTGAACAGAGTTCCTGGTGCACCTCCACACTCCAGCAGTCATCGTCAGCAGTACCACCGCTTCATAAGACCCGGTGTAGAGTGCACCACTACACTCCACTAGTCCTGCTCATGTCCACGGTTGTTCTGGCAATATTTCTTATTCTCGCAGGGAGGATGTTGAACAACCGTTGAACAACTATGATGTTTATACAATGTTCTCTAATTGTGCCTATGGCACCTCTGCTCTTCACTGGTTCTTTTCTGCATTTTCTTCCATTTCGTTCACTCCAGTATGTTGTTATTTTACTTTGTAGATTTGGGGCCTGGCCCTCCAGTATTTTGCACGTGTACATTATTTAATATCTCTCTCGTTTCCTTTCTACTGGGTACATATGGAGAGTTTTGAGATGATCCCAATAATTTCGGTGCTTTATCGCGTCTATGAATGCCGTATATGTTCTCTGTATTCCCTCCATTTCAGCAATCTCTCCTGCCTTGAAAGGGGAAGTGAGTACTGAGCAGGTCTCAAGACTGGACAGTACATGTGATTTGTATAGTACAACCATTGTGACAGGATACCTAGATTTAAAAGTTCTCGTAATCTATCCTATCATTTTTCTGACTGACTCAAAATTTGTTTGGTTCTGCTCCCTAAACGTTAGGTCGTCAGACATCATTATTCCCCAAATCATTTACGTTCTGCTTTATTACTATGGGCATATATGACTGTATTTTCTACCCTGTATTATGTTTAAGTGCACCATCACTCTCCACCATTTATCCGCAACAGCAGCAGCACCACCGCTTCATAAGACAGGTGTACAGAGTACAACTCATTTTTACCCTACCTGAGTACCTGGAATTTATCACTGTTAAACATCATGTTATTTTCTGTTGCCCAGTCGAAAACTTTATTAATATCTGCTTGTAGTTTTTCAATGTCTTCAGCAGAGGTAATTTTCATGCTGATTTTTGTGTCATCTGCAAAGGATGATACGAAGCTGTGACTTGCATTTTTGTCTATATCTGATATGAGAATAAGGAAAAGCAGTGGTGCAAGGACTGTACCCTGAGGTACAGAGCTTTTAACAGCGCTTGGACTCGATTTTATATGGCTGACTGTTATTCTTTGTGTTCTGTTCGACAGAAAACTGAGTATCCAGCGACCAACTTTATCGGTTATTCCTATTGACCTCATTTTGTGTGCTATCACTCCATGGTCACATTTACCGAATGCCTTTGTGAAGTCCGTGTATACCACATTTGCATTCTGTTTTTCTTCTAATGTCTCAGTGACTTCGTCGTAGTGATCAAGTAGCTGTGAGATGCACGATCTTCCAGCTCTAAATCCATTTTGGCCTGGGTTGTGAAGGTCATTGGTCTCCATGAAACTGGTGACCTGACTCCTGATCACTCTCTCAAATACTTTTATTATGTGGGACGTTAGTGCAACTGGTCTATTATTCTTTGTCAATGCTTTGCTCCATCCGTTGTGTATAGTGGCTATGTCTGCTGATTTAAGTGCATTTGGTATCTCCCTCATGTCCAAACTCTTCCTCCACATTATACTGAGTGCCTGTGCTACTGGCACTTTGCATTTCTTTATAAATATTGAATTCCGTGATTCTTGACATGGAGCTGAGTGCATGGGCATGTTTTCGATTTCTCTTTCAAAACCTACCATGCTCATGTTGATATCAGTTATATTTCCAGGGGTTTGGATATCATGCATAAAGAAGTAGTTCGGATCTTCCACTCTCATGTTATTTATTGGAGTACTAAACATGTCCTCATACTGCTTTTTTTCGATTTCACTAATTTCTTTGGCATCCTCATTGTATGAACCTTCACTCGTAGGAATCGCTCCAATACTGGTAGTGGTTTTTGCTTTTGATTTCGCATATGTGAAGAAATATTTTGGGTTTTTCTTTATTTCTTGAATTGCTTTATGTTCTAGTTGCCTTTCTTCAATCTAATATGAGTGTTTCAGTTTCTGTTCGATTTCTTCAATCTCCCTGTTTAAATTATTCCTTCTTTGTAGGGAAAGTCGTGTCTGCTTAAGCATTTCCATTATTTTTTACCTTCTTTGATAGTGTCGTCTGCATTCTCTTTCTACGTTGGACCTGTTTCTGGCTTTCCTCAAAGGAATATGTTTCAGACAGACTTTATATACTTCCGAAGTCAGTTTTTCTATTCCTTCTGTAAGGTTTTTATTACTTAGAACAGTTTCCCATGGAATGTTTGTAAGTTCTAAGTTAATTGTCTCCCAGTCTATCCTTTTATTATTAAAATTTAATTTGCTGAATAACCCCTCTCGCTTAATCATTGTATTAGGTCTATTCTGAGTATTGATGGTAGTTTGCACAACAATGAGCTTGTGATCTGAGTATGTGGTATCTGAGATCGTAATTGTGGGAACCGACCTGTGAGATTTATATTAAATTTATGAATTTATATTTACGTTAATTTATATATTTCGATAGCAATTTGTATGATGTTAAGTGGACTGTATTTCTGCAATAATCTCACAAATCGATCCATACACATTAGGGGGGTTTATATTGAATTTATATATATGCAGCCAATCAAACTACAGTATTAACTACACATATTAGTATACATTGAAGAGGTTCCTTATCTTATTATACAGCAGGCTTTAGTCCACCAGGTATAACTAGGATGTAGATACCAAATTATCCTCATTTGAGGCTGCTTCCATCACCCAGTAAACTGATATACCAAGCTTGCTTCCTCTTCTTGACCTGTCAAAGGGCGCTAGCTGTAAAGCCAGAATCCTAATATATGACAGGTATATCAGAGAAAACACTGTATAATGAATCAGATAAGGACCAAGGCTTAATTACCTTTTGTATGAGGCGAGTTTGCATTCTAACCGGTTCACCCAATATCTACCTAACATTAATGGCCAAAAATGATTAGATAAACGGGTTTCGGTAGAACACTGCCCTTGATTATTGTTGACAGCGTGTTGATGATGGTAGAGCACTAATATGATCCCCATTACACTTCGTCCAAGAGAAATGATAGGAGCCGAATTTGCTCCCTGCGCCTCTGGTCTTAACAACAATGTTTGACCACTCCTTCCTCACTCCTACTGACGCCTCCCTCACTTTGTAGAGATGTCAGTAACTGATAGAAGGGTCACATTTACTTTATTTTGATTCTGATAATTAAGTTAATTCATATATGATGTTTTATGATGGTAAAGTCCAAAAACTAATGTATTTAAGAATAATTCCCAACACAATAGCTGGTGAATTTATAATAGTATGTGGCAATGATATCCCGTTTTTTATTGATGGAAAATTCCACTACAAGCTACATTTTCTATGGGTTAACTTGTGTATACAATGCAGCAACAATATCTGCAATTGCATGTAATATTATTAAATGGTGTCGGATTTTCCGACAGTAATGTTCGTGATTATGTCTTCATTGTTTGTGAAGACCGGATCTAGAATATTTTCGTTTCTAATTGGCTCTGATATCTGCTGGTTATCTTGAGGTTATCTTGATATGATTTCAGGGCTTTTTAGTGTCCCCGTGGCCCGGTCCTCGACCAGGCTTCCACCCCCAGGAAGCAGCCCGTGACAGCTAACACCCAGGTACCTATTTTACTGCTAGGTAACAGAGGCATAGGGTGAAAGAAACTCTGCCCATTGTTTCTCGCCGGCGCCTGGGATCGAACCCAGGACCACAGGATCACAAGTCCAGCGTGCTGTCCGCTCGGCCGACTGGCTGCCAACTCCCTGGTTGAGTAAAAATTTGTCACAGAATCTAAGGAGATCTCTAATCTGTGGATGGTTATGTCCAGATTGATTTCCTGGTATAATATTGTTTGCTATTCTCCATCTTAGATTAGGCAAGTTGAAGTCACCTAGGAAGATAATGTTAAGTATCGGGTTCACCAAATTATCAAGGCTGTTTATTTGTTTTGCGAATTCCTCAGCCGTTGCTCCTGGCGGTTTGTATATTAGGATAATAACAAAGTTTATTTTCTCTATTTTTACTTCCCAGCACCTCTACCACCTCATTTGTAGAGTTAAGGAGTTCCGAGCAAACAAGATCCTCCCTAATATACAGACCCACTTTTGTATATTCTATTTACCCTCTCATCCTTATATCCAGATCTCACTGTCCAAGAATTCCCCTGCTGGGGTTTCTATGAAAGCTCCAAATACTGTATTTCACTCAATGAGGAGACTATGTATGAACGGTACTTTGTTTTTTGTTCTTGCTTTTAGTCCTTATATGTTGGCAAAGATGAATTTG